TATTAGCTTGGAAAAAAATGTAAGTTAAATTTATTCGGTTGTTTTTTCTTTTAAATTAAATCAAATTAATAATTTATCACATTTATAAATATTATTTACAACAATTTTTTGTTTGTATAGAAACCCAAGGAAGATCTATTCTCACCGAAAAAAGATGAATTCTTAAATCTCGAGAAAAATGTAAGTTAATTTGATTGATTGTTTTTTTAATTCCCATAAATTTAATAACTATMACATTTTTTGATCATAGAAACCGAAAGAAAAAGAATTATCTCCTCCGAAGAAAGATGAATTTATTAGCTTGGAAAAAAATGTAAGTTAAATTTATTCGGTTGTTTTTTCTTTTAAATTAAATCAAATTAATAATTATCACATTTATCAATATTATTTACAACAATTTTTTTTTTTGTATAGAAACCCAAAGAAGATCTATTCTCACCGAAAAAAGATGAATCCTTAAATCTCGAGAAAAATGTAAGTTAATTTGATTGATTGTTTTTTTAATTCCCATAAATTTAATAACTATCACATTTTTTGATCATAGAAATCGAAAGAAAAAGAATTATCTCCGCCGAAGAAAGATGAATCTATTAGCTTGGAAAAAAATGTAAATAAACTTTTTCACATTCACTTTGAAATTAACAAGAAATTGATAACGCGATCGTATATATATTGTAATTATTTTTTCTTATAGAAACCGAAAGAAAGTAAACTTTTTTTCATCGATACAAATGTAAGTTAATTTTTTTCAATTGCTTTAAAATTTAATAAAATTAATAATATCATCTAATACAAGGTGTCCTGTAAACAGGTGGTACCAGTTGTACAATACCCTATATATTTTTTTTATTATTAAATTTCTGTATAGAAACCGAACACACCTTCGAATGTAGCTGTACCAAGAAAAAGTCAACCATACGTACCACCAATTAGCAACCAGCCTCCAATCGTATTAGCAACACATTTAGTGCCATCCTTACCAATCAATCTATTTGAAATATTAGCTGAAATGATTGAAGTGGCAACAGAAAGGCCCGTAGTTCTTTTATACGAGCCTAGAACTAATAGAAAAGTTGCGAGTGAATACACTGATATCGGTAGATTTCCAAAATACATATTTCTATAATTATAATAGTATATTTTAATAAATATACTTAATTATTCCTTGTACTATGATTTAATGCACAGAACTATGTTTCAAAGTTTGTACTATATACTCATGGATTGTATTACAATGCAAGTAGTTCATAATAATTGGGTATATTTATATACTTCTATTTATAAAAATCAAAAATAAGTATATTTAGTAATATATATATATATAAGGAAATATAAAATCATATAATCAATTGTACTTATTAATTTCAGCCATTTTGCCAGCCAATGATGACTGGGAATACGGTGAATTGATGCCATTATCTTTTGTATTCGAACATAAACTAAACAATAACAATTCTCCGCAAGTTTATGCCGACGTTGTTGTAGCATCTGATCTTGTACATCGCATCGAAGTAAATTCATAAATCTTACATAGTTTTTCTTTCTTTTTCTTTTTTCTTTGTTTTTAACACTCCTAACAAATTTTTATATCTATACATATAATATTGTTTTTCATTATCATTAACAGAAAATCATTGATTTGCGTGGACATAGATGCGCTTTACCAGATAGGAGTAAAAAAATAGGAGCTGCTACATTGATATACAATTATTTGCATAGCATAGGAGAAGGTCCTGCTTTTTTCGGCAATACTTTAGGTTAATATAAAAACATTGTGTATATTGAAGTATAATTTATAACTAACAATCTATTGAAATTAAACATTTCTCTTTTTTCAGATGTTGATTCACAAATAGATGCTATGCAAATGGTCGCTGGTAAACAAGCGGAAGTAGGTATTTTGGAAGCTCCCGTTATAACATGTCATAAGTACAATTTTCCAGGCATACAATCACTTTATATAGTCGACAGCTTGGGACCATTACCACCTTATCGTTTCATGGTTAATAAAAAAATATCTGGTAAGAAAAATAGTTCTAAATGAAGTATAATCGGTTCATCGTATTTTTTTATTATAATTCCATCCCCATCATCTCATAACTGATGTTGTCTTCTTCTTCTTCTACATAGAATCATTCATTTATTTATTCATTTATTTATATATTGCTTTTTACAGAGGCTTTTGTAAAAAAGCTAACATCCTATCTACTTAATTGTAATGAAGATGCGTCATGGATGATGAAACTAGCACCTTTTGGAATAACAGGTTTCGCTATTAATACACTAGACTATTATGTATTTTCTGATGTCAAACCTGTCTTTTCGAGAGGAGCGTATTATTAAGTCTAACTTACATTAAACTGTGTTAAACCTAATCTTACAGTTTATTACATTATCATTGAAAAAGGTAAACACTTGTATCAATTTTTCTATTATCAAATAAATATAATATTATAAAGATCTATATCTGCATTGTTTGTTTGTATTTTTTTTTTCACCATTTCTTCTTCTTCCTTTTTTTCTTGTTTAATAGTATAAATTATGACACAATGCATAATGATTACGCAAGATGATTTATCATTGATGAACTAAATTTACCAAAAATTATGAGGGAGATATCCATTGGGAGGTGGTATGAAACCTCTGGCTAACGTTATCTTTAAAAATTCCTCTAAACGTACCAACGGTCCACCACTTATGCCATCAATGTTTTTTACACGAGGATATATGTCGTTAGCCAATAACATTAACATTTTACGAAATTGTTTGCCATAAGCATTGCAAAGAGAATTTCCTGCAACTTCTAATACATCCAAAATAAGAGTGACACAAAGTTCCAACGTGTTTGGATGAGATTCTATTAAATATGAAAAAATATAACAAGATTAAACATATAACAATAACAATAATAATAATAATAATAATAAAATGAGAAAATAAAAATGTAAATTTACCCCTATTCAAAATAGCTGCGAGCCACCTCCATGCATATCGTAATCCATGAGGGTGTCTTTTTGTAATTCCTTTTCTTTGCGACGTTACCGTTATAGAAATATATAATCTCATTAATCCAGACATTCTTTTCAAAAATTTATCCTGTTTCTCGACAGTACCATCTTCTGAATATTTATAACCTAACGATTTGTAATATTCTTCGTTAGTTTGTCCTTCTATTTTTGGCATGAATACTGGTACCGTAAAAGGACAAATTTGATGGAAGTGCGCTAAAAGTAGTTCGCCAAAGTCAGCATGCTCGTTCCAAAGTGCTACAGTTACAGCTGCTATGGCGAATGCCATTTCTGGTTTGCTCGAAACCAGTGTTTCTCCTTGGCTCTGTTTAAATAGGTAAAACTTTATTAAAATAATATTCATATTAAGGTAAATGAATAAATTAAAATGAATTAAATGAAAGATATGTACCACTATTTTTTTCGCTAAAGTGTCTTTACAAAATGCAGTTCCTTGTGGATGCTGTTCTACGTTAGGTGATGATTTTCCGATAAGAAGATTGTGCAATTTCTCATATTTATCTTTAAGATGTTGGGCGTTGATAACGGAAATTGCATTGACAGGAATATTTATTGCCTTTTGACATTCGAATCTAAATGTTTTTGTATCTGGTGATCTTAAAAACTCGTCATAAGTTTTGGCATAATTTTCCAAAAATTCTTGACTTTCTTTGTAAATTTGTAATGATTCTTTATCCACATATTTATATAAATTATCTAAAAAGAGAAAAGAAAATATATATATATATATAGAAAGTATTATTTTTCAAGGCATAGAATAACATTTGATTAACTCATTTGCTACTACACATTCTCATCAAAAGAGATTCAAAATGTTGAACCCCCAATAGAAATCAAAGCGTGTCACAGATATATGACATTAATAACTAATACATTAATAAAGAAACAGAGTATAATACCTTCTATTTCTTGTAAGGATACAGTTGACATTAAAGTTGAATTATCTTCAGAATTAGCTTGTTGATTACTAGTTGTTTCTAATGTTTCAGCTGCTTCTGGGACAGTTTCTGAATCATGTTCTGGGACAGTTTCTGAATCATGTTCTGGGACGATTTCAGAAACAAATTCATGAATAGGTTCTTGAGTAGTTTCTTGAGCAGTTTCTGGAACGGATTCTGGAATGGTTTCCGGAACAATGTCTTGAACTTGATTGTTGTCTATGTTTTTGTCTACAACATCGTAATCAGTTTGTTCAGGAGTTGGAGGTTCATAAATTGTTACAACTTCTTCTGTTTTGGATGGTTCTTTCTGATTTAAATTTGTATTTTTTTCGTCCGTGCTAGATTCAGGAATTTCATTCTTTACATCTGCAGTATCTACAAGTATGCGTGTGTGTGTGAGTAATATTGATTATTATTATTAATATTAATATTTAAGAATATTAATATAATGTTAATAATGAAAAATACAAACCTAGTGCTACCTTTAACAAGCATGAAATTTCTTTTATCTGTTGTATTGCTGTTTCCAAATTATAGAGATCTGTGGGCACCAAATCTCTTACCTGTTTAAAGTGTAAGAAAAAATGAATGAGTATTAAAAGTATCAATTTATATTATATAGAGTGATAAACAAAAGTATAGTCTTTCTTAAACTATTTAAAAACAATACGATGCAATCATGAATTGAAAAACTTTACTAAATATTAAAAATTAAATTTACTTAGGAAGGATTAGTTTTAGAACTTATATCGATAAAAATCGCTTTTGATACTTCTTACTGATGACTACGAGCTTTTTAAGATACAAACCCTTATTTTGATCACTCTATCTTTATATATATATATATATATATTGTTACTGAATAATAAAAACCTGAATTTTTCCATCCAATGTCTCAATTTGTCGATGCAATTGTCTTAAAACGACCGAATGCGTGGTGGAAAAATTGCTTAGAATAGTTTTATCCTTACAATTTCTCGAAAGCATTATAATATCATAATATTTCATTGCAAATTCCTGTCTAAGTATCAATATCTTTGTAATCAAATCTTCCTTTTCCTGCATTTTCCTCTTATATTCTTCTATATCTCGTTTCATCTTTTCGTTATGTTCTTGAACTCTTTGAGCGTTTAACTGTTGTTCGTGTTTTCTTCTTATTTCTTCCTGTTCTGCTAGACGTTCTTCCTCTGCTAATATATCAGCGTACTTCTGTGCACTTTTGCGCTCTCTTTCTTTAACCATATTTGAAAGTGAAACAGAAATATGTTTCTGTATAGCTATACCATTGTCTGCCATGTGTTGCCATTTACGGTGTACTTCTTTCTATAAGATAAAATAATCAATTATTTATTTAATTACATTTTTTCAAATATTTACTTAACCCCTTGTGCTAAAATTTAATGTGTCAAACTATATACCATAACCATAGCTATATACCAAATTCGTACTTCTTATGTTTAATCTATAAGATTTGACATGAGTATAATTCATGATTCTCATATTTAAACCATAAAGCGTATCACCAGACCTACGTTGTTATTATAGTACAAGGGGTTAAAATAAATGATATTTGAAATAATTATTTGTTAGCAAAAAATTTACCATAACTTTCTCTCTTCTTTGTAACTCCTCTTCGTGTAATATTTTTCTTATTGAAAACGTAATACCATTACGTGTTGTTAAATTCTTGCTGTTACATTCGTCAATAGGTTTTCGAGGTGATTTATTAACATTGCACGTATTTTTTTCATTTTCAATATTTTCTAATTTTTTTTGTTCATCTTGATTTGATACTGAATTAGGACCAATTGTAATTCGGTTTATTTCACCGGATATACGTAAAGCTTTTCCTAAAGCAGATACTTTAAGACAAGCAAAATCTGCAGTAATGTCTTTCATATCAGTTCCCTATACGTGTGAATATACATATATTTACATTAATATATATAAAATATTATTATTATTATTATAATTATTACTTAACAGAGCAAGAGAGAATTAACAATTAACATTTTTAATAGATAAATAAATCTAATGTATACAATGTACGTTTTTTATCAATAAACTTTCTAATAGAACATAGAAACATATTAGAAAACATTCAGGCATAACCTATATAAAACAACTAACTAATTTGATTTTTGTATGCTTACCATGATTTTTTTATTTTTGATGGAGTGTGCCATTATTATTATAATTGATTGAAATAATCCTTAAAAATCCTTAAATTTCTGTTTGAACAATTTACTGCTGATGAAATTTATATTGAAATAAATCAATGCATAGATATTTCAATAACCCTTACACACACGATTTGGACATCTTTACAAAAGATTGAAATTTTATTTACGTTTTTTCACTGTATGTGATTATTAAAATGATTATTTTTCTTTTATATAAATATAACATTATATAAATATATATACAACTCTTATTTTTAATCAACTCACCTGCATCTCTAACACCAGAAATACAACCTCAAAGGACGCATTCCAAAATATTTTCGAGTTTATCGAAGAAATCAGCCAATCAGAAGGAATCTTTTTATTAACCAATCGTATCATTGTTATTATATCGATATTATAAGATCGATATTTTCTATTCGCGGGTTTATTTAAATTGAATTTACATAGAGAATTTATTAAACAATAATTAATTATTATATACACTCTGTAGTGTATTGTTTTAGGATTTTTATTATTATGAAAAGTGATTTAAATGTCTCCTTAAAAAAAAGGGATACGTACAATGATTTCTTTACTGTATTCCTTTTATTCTAATAATGTGTATATATATTCTAAATGAGATTCTATCTTCTCTATATATAAAGATTCTATTATCATTATAAACTACATTATTTCTATACTACCCTGCATATAATCTGTTTATTTTAATAATCATCATTATGTTATATATTCATAAATGTAATTTTATATCTACAACGAAAATAAGAAAATTGAAGGTACGCAGAACTTGTAGCTGTTTAATCTTATTAATTTACTGAGATCTTTTTAAACACATATGTAATAATAACACGTGTAAATTAACGTACAAAATCATTAAAAGATTTCTAATAAATTATGTCACATTTTTTCATTGCGTTAACAAAATATTCTTCCAAGATTTGTTAAGCCAGTTTTCTTAATACACATATTAACGTGATCAAATATTACAGCACCAATAATCTTCAATCTTCTTAGTCCTTTAGTTTTTGTTTGTTAAAGTCTTTTTAAAAACTATATCTAAATCTGACGCTAAACAATGAATATTGTAAAACTTATTATCCACGCTAATTGCCGGGGTACATTATTTTTACATTATATGATATTATACAAAATGTGCATTCATTTGGCACAATATATTTAATAGTTACATTAATTAAGCCTTACAATTAGTACTGAATTTATATTAGCATAGAAGGCATTATTTTATGAAGTCATGCATCTGAATTAATATTCTATTTACTTTTGCATTAATATATTCTTGCTTTAAATACCATGTTCAAAAATCTATCCAACAGAATATATCTAATTAGGAAAACTTCTTGATTTCGGAATGAAGCTTAAGATAAACTATAAATATTTGTCTCTTAGATAAATATAATAATAATAATAATAATAATAATAATCTGTATCTATATCGTAATCAAAATATACATATGGACATTACATGAAAATTTGCATTACTATTCTTCTTCCTGTATTTTCTTTTCTATTTTATTTTTTGCTAATAATTATTCTTTAAATTAACTGTCAATTATATGAGATCTATATAAAGAATAATAATTTAAGTTAATTCTAATAAGAATTATGGCACAATGGTGATCCCAACTGATTTACTTAGACAAAATTTGAAGGACTTTTTAACAATGATTCTTTATCATAATTATTAATACTGGACCCAAAAAATGAATGAATTTACTATAGGAATGATGAAACTCGAATAAGGATCACTATTAATTTGTTGTGTTTTGTTTTGTTTGTTAACAATTTCGAATTTAATTTGTTCCTAACTACGGATTCAATTCATGAATTCTTTCATAAAACAGAAGATAAGGATTAGCACGCAGAACATCTGTCAACGATATGTGCTCAACAGTAGAATCTGACGTATAAAGCCATTGGCCAGGTTTAGTTCCTCGTCTGTAACATACAAAATGGCCAGCATCCACTGATCCACGATGTTCTACTACTGCTTGAAGTTGATACTTGTGTTTACCATTAGTCGATTGTTGATTTGTAAGAAGTAACATTGCTTGCGCATCTCCCTATAAATAATACAAACGATGTTATATATATTAAATCTTCTTTTTGAAATATTTCCTTTAGCAAAAAACGTTTAACTTACTTTTGCCAGTCTCTTCTTCGCTTCTATAAAAGTAAATGGATCTAAAATTAAGGTAACAGAAAAAAGAATAGCATCGTCTCTCTTAATTGGTCTTCCACTGGAACTCCAAGTAGTTCTCGGTATATGTATGCACAAACATTTAGGTAATTTTCCAAGAGTTAGAGTTTTAACGGCATCGCAACGAGACGCACAACCGTCGCATTCTACATCATGAACTACTTCACTACTTACAAAACGTGAAAATAATTCTATTAGGGTTAAATGTTTCCATTGAAGAACCGGACCGAAAGCAGGTAATGGTAAAGAAATACTTTCAAGTTTATCATAGCGTACAGGAGTCTAAAATAAAAATAATATATAATTACGAGTTTTGTTTGTTGATAAAATAAATAAAGTCAAATAAATATTTACCAACCTTCCAATTACAATTAATGCATTGCAATTGACTAGTCAGTAATCCAGAAAATGGATGTACTTCGTTCCAAATAGGTGGTAAATAGGTTGATACTTTACAAAGATAATTCCATATTGGTTCTTCATTTTCTGTGTCGTATCTTTTAAGTTGCGATAACATTTCAGAAGATCTATCCAAAATTTTACCAGGCTTGTATTCAGAAGGTATATGAGATGATATAGATGGTGTCGATATTGTCATATGATTGTTACAATTTGTATCAAAGCCATTCATAGAATTAGGATTTCTTTCGGCAGATACTATATCATTGCAAGATACACTTCTAAATCCTATCTGATCCCCTGAATTCTTGAGATCCATCACGACTACGGAATTTCTAGGTAACGCATCCGACAGACAACCTTGCTGTTGTAACAAAAATACAAATATTTCAATCGAATTTACTCCAAAAAATAATTATGATTTAAATTATAATTATATATTATATAATAATACTTATTTTCGACTATAAATAATTAATATTCGTACTCTGTTGATGGTTTGAATTTCTGCCTGTAATGCATTTAGAAGTATGTGAAATAATTCATGAGCATCTTGGTAACCAGGAGCAAAACTCCATTGAGAACCAAGTGCAGTTATTATTTCGATGGTTGTTACATCTCCATACAAGTCGTCTGTGTGACCGTTGATTTCTAGCCGAATACAATATCATGTATTTTATAAACAGTTAATATTACATAGAATAAATAAAATATTCATTAAAATATATTAAAGTTTACATCGTACTTTCAAAGGCAGAAACTAAAGCAGCTGTAAACTGGCACTTATTGTTCTTCTCTCGTTGTTTCTGGAGCCAGGTAATAAAAGTTGGACAAGCAGCCAATGCTTGTAACAAAGAATTTAAAAAGCACGTGTATCCTAAATTACTGATGCCAACGACCTTACCTAAATAATATCGAATACGTTAATGGTTTAACGAAGAATAAAATCTTATTAACAAAATATCATAAATAGATATCGATAATGTTATTTATAGTTATCCAAATCTTCAACGATGATAATAAATTACCTCTTCTTCTAGGTTTAGGAGACGGACCCCATAATATAAATACTCCAACTGCTACCGCTAGACCCATGCCAGCAAACATGACTATTCGTTCTATGTCCATCATCTTTAGTTATGGAAATAAGTAATTTCTTTTACGATAATTATTCTTTTTAAGTTTTAATTGAATTTAAAAATTATACTTGCGTGGATCATCATCCAATAAATTAAATCATTAGACATATTTAAAAAAACAATTTATTTTTCTTTTTTCCTTTTACTTTTGATGCTCATCAAATTTTAACTAAAGTAATAATAATAATAATAATAATAATAACAACAACAATAACAACAACAACAATAATATTAAAATGAATAAATCGCCTTTCCAAAATCCTTTTCCAACAGCTATTATACCTTCGCTCTATGTGAATTTTTTTTTATTATTATGAATGTATTGTATGTCACTGAATGATTGTTCTTCCTTTCGATCAATAATACGCTCACATTATTTACACCGTTAATATATTACTTCAAATCTAATGATATTATTGTTAAATTAAATCCAATCGTTTGATTCTTACAATTCATTTCGGCATAATACGTTAAAGTACGACGTGCAGATCCGAGATCAGTGCTTATGCAATGATACCAACCTTACCGACACACACACACACATATTTTTAAGATAAACTTCTTAATGATCTTATACTTCTAATTAAATTAATTATTACTTAATCACTCCTAGAAAATATATATATTATATTGACATTTAATTTCATTTGAAATTCATTTGTATGAAAAATAATATGACTTAAATTAAAATTTTTTATTCATCAAAGTAAAACGTCACTTATTGTTCTAATAAAAATTAAAAAACATAAATACAAAAAATATTTTTAAAAATTGACTTTAAACAAATATTTAATTATTCATTTGAATTTTTATTTTTATTCGAAGAAATTTGTGTTTTGACTTTGACAGTATATGTCACATGACAAACCATATGATTTTAAAATAGCGCGAATTTTCAATCACTTCCTTTTCCATTATAATATTTATTTAATTGCTGCAATCTTAAACAATGAATTATTGCAATTTGTAAATTATTTGTATGCTCGTAATATAAATAAACAGAATATAAATAGTATAATTACTAGTTATACATTTATTTGGTATATATGTATAGATTTTTGATATATCTACCATTTTAATTCCTCAGATAGCGCTGAAAGCGCATTCTAGTTTTTACGTTAAATAAAACTACGCTGGCCGTTCTGCAGTTTTATGTTCGATCAGTTTGTAAACGGGATAAATTTTTTTCTTTTCAATATATGTTTTTTTTCTTTTTAAGATCGACGTTAAAGAATGTTTATTGGATAAGAAAATTATTGATAATATTAACTACAATAATTTAATATCTTCCAAAAGAAATCTTTCGAAAAATATAATTAGCGCGAATAAAGTGATCGTGGGAAACTTGAAAATGTTCCCACGTTACTATTGCATCGGTATGCGTAGTATTAATGTGTAAAATTCTTTAATGTAAAAATGAACGGACACGGGCAAGAACATGGTCATGCTGTTGTTGTTTGGGAATGGGAAAATCGCCATGGACGATGGAGACCATACAGTCCAGCAGTATCTCAACACCTTGAAAGAGCACATTGTAAAAAATTAACAAGAGTTTTTCTTAACGATGCTGATCCTAATTTAGA